ACATATTGTGATAAAATTCTCTGGAAAAACGCAGTTGTCTTATTGGTACAGATTTTCTTCTAACTTAATTCTGGAGCATTATTGAGATTATGTTAATTTATGCAGACATGTGTACATCAGAGTAGTGCTAAAACTTTAACAGTACCTCATATCAGGTGAAGAAACAGACATCACAGCCTAGGCATTAGATCAAAGGCAAAGTTGCAAAATAAGATGTTTATCTTTAATGGATTTAAGTTCTAGAGTCAAGGCTGTGGAAAGATATACCGAAATGGGACCTCCAACTCCTGAAACTCTCTTCCTTTTTATGCTATCTGACATCTGGGAAAAAATCTGCATCCAGCATCAGGTGGGAAAAGATCATCTTCTTTTAGGCCCTTTCATGTTTGGTCTTCTTTCTCTTTCTGAGGGCAGTGCCACTCCTCTAATTGGTTTGGGGAAGAAACATTGATTAAAATGTATATTCTCACATCTCTTGTCTAGGCTTTTTGACTCCCCAAGGTCAGAGGAGACATAACTCTCAAAATGAAATGTTATCATTATAATTAAGATCTGCTGGAGGCTTCAAATTGAGGGAGTTTTGAGGATGTAGTTATAAATACATATATATCCTTCATTAGTAATTTTATATTTGTCACTTAATAATAGTATTATTTTTAATTTTTTTTTTTTTTTTAGTTTTGGTTGGACACAATACCTTTATTTTATATATTTTTACATGATGCTGAGAATTGAACCCAGGACCTTGCATGTGCTAGGCAAGTGCTCTACCACTGAGCCACAGCACCAGCCCTAGTGTGATTTGTTTTTAAATTCAACTTAAGACAACTTTTTCAGGTTTATTGATATATTTACTATACATATTTTTTCTGTCCTCCTGGGGATTGAACCCAGGGCATTGTGCATATGAGGCAAGAGCTCTTCCAACTAAGCTATATCCCTAGCCCTAATTATTGTACATATTTAAGGTGTATACATTAATCTTTTGGTATACAAACACATTCATAAAACCAGTTTAATAATCAATTAATTTATCCATTACCCCAAGGTATTTTCTACTATTCTTTTAAAGTCTCTTTCTTATGCTCTTTCCTACCACCTTTCATGAAATGAATTTGATCTTATTTAACAAGGCAAGTACTGGACCACTATCAAACTTATACAGATCAATTAAGTTTTACAAAGGGAACATACTACATAACTACTATTTTTATTAAGAAATAGAATATTAATGGTGCTACAGAGAATAGTTTCATGTCTTCTTGCTTTCACCATACCCTCTGGTCTCCCTGGAGGTTTTGTTTTAACTAGTTTTAAAGTATTATTCTTTGTTACAACAAAACAAAAAACAGAAGTGGGACCATTTATTTATTTATTCATACATACATACAAAAATGGGTAGAATATGTAACTCATTATATAGGAAACCAAATCAGACACCAATCATGCTTGATATTTTGTTGGTGGAGCAAATTTGAGGGTGATCCAGGAGTCAGAATAAAGAGGTATAGCTCAAAATGTCAGGGTTGTAGCATTAAGAGTTCAGTTATGAGAGGTTACCTGGGTATAAAGATTGGTGGGATAGATTGAAGAAAAAAAAAGTAGGTATGTGTTACTAGAGAAAATCTGAGGGAGCTCAGATAGAACAGGTCAGGAAGTGTAGCAACAGCAAATTTATGTTTGATGAGCAGTGTCTGAGAGAAAGAAATTTCAAGGCTTGAGAGAAAAGAAAGAGTGTTACATCTCTGGTAGAGCTCTATGAGCAGGGAGCCAGGTGTATGGCATACTTGTTTTATTAAACCATTATACAACTACATCTTGGTTTTTTAGGAATTTTTGTATAAGAAGCCACTGGCATAAAATTATTCTGTCACAATATTACCTGTTTTCCCTCTCTTGGGATACACTTTTTTCTCACCTAATTCATCCTCAGCAGTTTCTTCTTCCTCCTAAGATCCATTCACCTAGTCTTTCACAACCATTTTTTTCTGCTCTGTACAGTTTGCCTTTTCTTCCACTGTCACCTCCTTCAGATCCTTGATTTTCAACTATGCCACATTCTTTATGCTATTCTCTGACATTGTTATGTGGCTGGACATAGGTGTATGGGAGTCTTGGTTAGTAGGGCCCTGACTTAAGGGACATGGACAGTGGAAGATGGTGAAAGATGCAGTCTACTTTGGTGGTGAAAGCAGTGGTGCAGCTCTCTGTTGTAACATTCTAAGAATATTTTGGTGTGAAAAAGTAGAATTGATGACTTATAAGTTATGTCTATGTAGATAGTACCACATTTATGTAGATAGTACCAAATAAATTTTCAACCTGGCTCTAAAATTTGACATGGCAAACAGAAGATGACAATTCTAATCAATTAACATGTTTGTAATTTTAGTCTTATTTGATCTTTTGCCTTTTTGTTCATGTTTTCCTTCTTGGTGAGTATCAAATAGTGAATTGGCTTTATTATTAACTTGTTTTATTAATAGTTATTTACACTCCTTTTTGTATATGTTCCACAACTTTCATCAACCACCTCACTCCAGGTCTCAAAAGCGACTCTCCAGTCAAAAGGGTAGGGAGCCAGCAGGAAGGCAGGCTAGAAGAAAGAGAACTGAAGATAGGGAGGAAGGACCAGGGATGTCGACGCCCCATTATGTCATTCTTTCCCACTCTCACTCCTCAAAGTACTGACAAGATGATGTGGGCAAGTGATTTTCTAGAAGATATTTTTTAGCCTGCTAAATCTTGGAGGGTGAACATTTAGCACAGGCAGTATAAACAAAGGACTATGTTTCTAAATGACACAAGTATTACTCCAGCCAAATTTATCTGAAGTTATGACCTATCTCATCTTTTAATATTACTTTCATTTTCAATATTACTTAAGGTGTAATATGTAAACTCAATTTAGAACTAAATTTCAACTTTAAAAAAAATTCCCTGATTCATCAAAAGTACATTTTATCCACTTAGGCAAGAATAGTATGACTCAATTTTTGATGTTATCTTTACTAAAAGTTGATTATCTTATTTGAAAGTGAGAAATCATGTATTACAAATTTAATTCAAAGAACTTTTGGTACATTCTTAAAATTATATAAAAATAGTTTTGTGATAAAATGCGTTGGTCCCTGGATTTCATAAAGCAGATCTTGTAAGCTTAGAAAAGGCCAAGACAAAAACAAAAACAAGAAAACCTAGTACCTGATCATAGAGCTAGAGAATATTAAACAGGTAATATAACTCAACTATAAAAACAAACCTCTCAAAATTATTCATTTACTTCAATAAAATCATAGTAACTACAGGAAAAAACCCTCAAATTTGTGGTCAAAGTATTAGCCTCTAAGCACATTTTCCCCGGGATGTTTTTAAACACATGAAATTTACACTAAGTTCCTATGGAATATGTCATTCATTCTAAAATTACTTTGGTTTTAAGACCAAATAGTCTTTCAAATTTATTCTATGTATAAGGAGAAGACATTATCAGAATGCAACTCATTCAGTGTAAATAACCACAATCTTTCTGACCAAAATACTGTGAAGGTTATTGTGACCCTCTTCTCAGGGACAGCACTACAAGGTCAGTTCCCCTCTTAGCTATGAGATAGTTTTCCCCCCTCAGAATAAGATCACAGTGATAAGAAAGACTCTGCAAACTGTAAAATCCCTACAAAGAGACTTTACAGTACTAAAAGTAAAAACCAGTTGTTACAAGATAGTTCCAACTTCACTTGAGAAGACCATGAAAAGTTTACTTTAAACATTTAATTTGACTGAAAACATCTGTAAATGGAAAACCTACTCAGTGTCCATTAGTTATCAGCTTTCCCAATATCAAGGTGCACTGAATTCATTATATAACCATGTAAATTGAGCAGTTGCAATATCTGCACGTATGAGATAAGGAAAGACTGAATTAAAAGCTGCCTTCCTCAAAGTGTAGCGAGACCTCCAATCTACACTAACTCTAACCTCACAAAAACAGGAATCCACTGAACACTTACATCTACAAAACAAATGTGATTGTTGTACCCATCTGTTGTCTATTCAAATTATTAACTACATTTGCCTTCCTAGAAAAAGGTCTATTATTTAACATCAACCATATTCTAATTTAAATGTAATTCATTTCTTAAAAAAATAACACTGTCTTTGATCAAATAAAGAACAAAATGGCTTACAGAATACCACACAACTTCTCACAAGAGCTAGACAAACTTTCCCTTATAGAAAATGAGTCTGAATGCTATCAAGATTAAGTTAAAGTACTGTGAGCATCTCGAGTGCCGCTTGAATGTTTAAAGTACACTCAGACCACACAACTCAACTGCAAAAGCTAGAGGTGAGATTACTCCAACATGACCATGGAACAACTGATTTCATGACACTGCATTTCTTTAGTGGTTCAAGCACATTTTGGTAGGAGAAGGCATTTTCAAAATGGAATACCCAATGACATATCACAAAAACCCTTCCAAAAAACAAAATAGAAAAGGTTTGCGTTACCCAGATAAATAAACTTTTTAAATTCAAACACTATAGGATTTAACAAACAAACTTTAAGCAATTCTACTCATTTCCATTTGAAAGACATAGAAGTGGCACTTACTGGTATAGTACAATCCCTTTTGAAGGCATGTAATGTTCTGAATATGTGAAAGAACAACAGTGTACAAAATACAATTGCATAAATTATGTTCCTCATCCCTATATGAGGTCATTTTTAGACTCAAGAGTTTTATAAGTATTAGTTTTAAGATCCTGAAAAATTATAGAACAGTACATTCAAAGTCTGAATCAAGGAAACTCTTTAGTGGTTCAGAATCCTCTGAGAATGTACTAACCAGGAGTAAATCACTTTCTTTAAAAATAAGAAATGTTTCATATAACCCAACAATCCAGTTCCTTTAACCTTACATATGATCTTCAGCATAGCAGAGTTACCTAAAGTTAAGACCAGCAATATTCTTTAAAAAAAAAACAAGTTTTGTTAATCAAAAATAAAGATAGACTACACAACATTTTATAACTGTCCTGGGAAAGAATCGTTCATAGTGCACAGAAAGGACCCACGTGGCTGTTTCCTGGGTCCAAAGAATCCTGGGAAGTTTTTAATCAATCTTATATACTGTTGCAAAAGGAAGCAATATCCTTCCGTTCCCTCTCAGTGAGGTAGAACAATTGACCTCCCAAACGAGAACCCAGGAGCAGATCTGAAGAAAAAAGCAGAGTTCAGGCAAAGCTGTAGAATTACATTTTGATGCCTTCCTGTTGACTGAGTTGTGACAATGTCTTCTTAATCCGTAAGGCTGTCAGCCCAGCTGCTCCATTGGCATACCAACATTCTCTCATGATTTTAGCCATCACTCTCAAGGCTTTACAGCTCTGCCATCTGTTTGGAATATTTGGCCTTAATTTCTGTTCACAAACTACTTTTCTCATTTCTTCAACTGACGGATCAGAAGGTACAAGATCATAATAAGGCAGCTGGTAATCTTCATGAATTCCACCAATGGAACATCGTCGAGAAATTTCCCAGAACACTAAGCCCATTGCATAGATGTCAGCACGTTTGAAGGATTCAAAATGTTTCATATTTATGGAATCATCTAGAACTTCAGGGGCCATGTACCTTTTTGTTCCCACTCTGTGGTTTGGAGCAATATCAATTGTATCTGTGGCTGAATCATGTCTTACTGCCAGTCCTAAGTCTGCAATACAGCATGTTCCATTCTTCTTCACCAAGATATTCTTTGATTTCAAATCTCTATGAGCAATAGCTGGTTTTCCTTGGGTACCAACAATCTCCATGTGAAGATGGGCAAGACCGCTTGCTGTGGACAGAGCGAGTTTGATCATTCCTTCCACAGTAACTGTATATCTGTTCAAGTAATCAAAAAGGGATCCATGCTCATGATAATCTGACACCAGCCAGAGCTGAGTCCATGTACCATTATCTTTATTGTCTGCTGCTATAAATCCCAGGATGTTTTCATGGCGCAACATTACAGTTTGATAAATTTCTGCCTCGCGGAACCATGAACGTTCTTCTCTGGAGGAGAATATCTTAACGGCAACTTCTTCTCCCCGCAACTTTCCTCGCCAAACTTCTCCAAATCGACCTTTGCCAATACTTTCTTGTAACACAATAGTTCTTGCAATTGTTCTCTGAACAAGCAATGGTAAACCTGATCCAGACCCTGATGTCATATCATAAATTAAATCTTTTAATGTAGTACCCTCTGAAATAAAAGGGCGATCTAATGAAGGATCCTCTTCATTTGGCACTCGATGGTGAATGACAGTGCGGTTATGGCAGATATAGACCATCAACATGAGTGAGATGCAGACGAAGCAGACCGGTCCAGCAATGACAGCTGCCAGCTCGACGGGACCAAGGCCAGGAGGCTGCTTTACAGTAGTTGGGAGCTCTATTTTATTGCAGTGGTCCTGATTGCAACAATATGTTGTAGTAACAGACCCAGTTTTTGAAGAGGGTGCACATACAAATGGTCTATCTCGAGGAATTAGGTCAATTTCAGCTATACACATGCTATTATGTATAACTTTGTCTGTGGTCTCCGTGACAGAGACAAAGCAAAGCCCATCTGTCACATAGGTAAAATTATCTTTTGTACAGAGGTGGCAGAAACACTGTAGTGCCGTCGCCCTCGGAAGCAACGTGGCGGCCGCTGCCAGCACGAGGAGAAGCAGCTGGCGACGCGGAGCAGCGGCTCCCGCCTCCATGGTCCCACCGCCACCGCCTGTGGCCCGGCCCGGCCTGGCCGCCGCTTCGCCTCAGCAAGCCTCGCCTCGCCCCCTTTTATTTTATTTTATTAACTACTGTTTATTGAGAATGTGACCTTTGTGGTTTGACTTCAGGAAGTATTCTCCCTATTATTTAATTGACTTCTCATTACTTATTCTTTATAAAATATTTTGTTCTAAAATATATTTGAATATATTTATTACTTGCAATGTTCAAAACTATAGGGCTGATTCTGAAAAATTTCCTGATCAGACATGTTTTTATTTTTGAAGATTGTCAGATTTCTTTGTTGCTTCTATCTTCTACTTAATTGAGAACAGGGAATTTGCTGGTTCACATTTCTTTCACTTCTTGTGCTGAGTGGATGTATTTGTGTTTGTTTGGTGGTCTTGTTTTTTGTTTCTAAATTGTAGTTTTGTGAGATTCCCACCAATGTTTTTAATATGGTCAAAGTAAGATATTTACAATGTAGCTTCCTTTTGTCTCTTGCTTTTTAATTTTGTTCTTTCCCCAAATGAGAAATAACAGAGCTTGAAAAGTAGATATTTTTAAGGTCACCAAAAATGAAATGTGTAAAAAAAGGAAAAATTTGATGAAATGGAAAAGCCAACATGGGCTTCTGATGAATGTGTTTAATGTTATGAATTTCTGCTTGAATATTCTCTAAAGTGTATTTTCATTTTTAGATAATAAATTGAGAGTCAATACTTAAATTCAGTATGTCCACATAGAACTGTTTTTCATTTGGAATGGGTCTTGGAATTCTCACTGGGGTATTAAGGGATCTCTATACTCCTTATTTTGTAGTGTTCAATGACATTAAAATCATTCTTTAATTCACTTTCTGAAACTTTAAAAAACTGAGAGCAAAATATCCTGTATAACATACAACAATCAATATAACAAGTAATATATCCTGTTTTTTAAATGGTTTCCAAGCTTATAAATAATGACATTGAAAATTTTAACTTATGATTATGTGGCACATAGGAATGAAAATTTACCCAAAACAACATATTTACTAATATTGTAGCAAAAATGTCACTAATAACATTATAATTTCTCAGTACTACCTATTAAATTCATTACATGCTATATCATTATCAAGTTTTACCACACTGCCTAAGTTTTATATATGTGTGTGTGTGTGTGTCTGTGTGTGTGTGCGTGTGTCACGCACACACACACGCAAACACACATATTTGTTATATAGTACCATTGTTTGAATCTAGGGACACTTAAGCACTTAGCCACATCCTGATTTCCTCAGCCATTTTAATTTTTATTAGAGACAAGGTTTTGCTGATTGGCTTAGAGCCTTGCTAAGTAGCAGAGGAAGTATTTGTACTTGTTGATCCACCTGCTTTATCCTCCAAAGTTACTGGAAATATAGGTGTATACCACTATGGCTGGCATATTAGCAATCTTATGATTATTACTTTTTCCTCTTTGTTTTATGATAATATATGATTATTTTACAAAAATTATACAGTTATTTGGGAATCTGCAATGTGTAGATAAATATTTATAGTAGTTGCAAAAAGGATACAAGAAAATAAATAGTCTGATATGGTTTTTATTTTATATTTAGTAAACTCATATAATATTGACCCTAATTAAATAGATATGACAAGATAAAAATTATAATCTTCAAAGCAACCAATAAAAGTGGAATACTGTGTCACTGAAATACTGGGGAAGAATAAGATGAGTGGAATAGTTATTTGTTTAAGAATATTGATGGTCCCAGTAGTCTTAATGGTCCAAAAAAGGAAATAACTCTAATGTTCCTGAATATTGAAGTGAACAATTTGTAGTACATCCTTAAAATACAAAGCAGTCATCAATAAAAAGAAACACATTACTGACACACATATGCTTATTGACTCTCACATATACTGTACAGCATTTAAAATTATATTGCATAAAGTCAGGCAAAATAAAAATATGGCTAAATATCCATCCCTCTGGGAACAAAATTCACATGTAAATGAAAATAGTTGTCTTGGAATGATATAAATATTCAGTGCTTAAAAGCAGTGAAAGTTTTTATCATTCTGTTTGTCAAAACTGTAAATTAATATCTGTGACATTCAACACCTGTACATATGACCTCACCAGAAAAGAAATATACAGCGGGAGGGGGGGGGGCGGTTGGCCTACATTGCAGTATGGTTAGAAGTGTAGAAAAAATAAAAATGGCATGTAATAAGCAGATATTGAATCTGGGTAACTGGTTTAATGTTTACTTTATTTATATACATTTTATATTTATATATTGAAGCTTTTCCATGCTAGCTGTTAAGAACCTCTATGCTTTTGGGGATCATAGATAGAGAAAATGATTTAGTCTGTCCTGAGCAAGGCTGATTCAAACTATGTTCACTTTTGGATAATTTCTGAACCTTTACATATATGCTTTGTGTGTTTTTATATGTGCATTGTACTTCAATGTAAATTTTAAAAATTATGTTTGTGAAATATGTATATCAGAATACTAGCAACAATTAGTGATTTGGTTGAAATCTCAAATTAGTTCACTTTGGATTTTAATATTCTATGTTCTAACATTTGGACATAAGTTTTTTCATTTCAGCCACAACTTGGTAAACATTAATTTTTATTCATTTATTTCTTTTTCTCAGTGCTGGGGATGGAAGCAAGCATCAATTTACCATGCAAATTTATATATATATATATTGAAAATTCAAGCTTCTAGCACCAACCATGTTTGATTTGTAGCTCTATTTTCGTCCATATCTATAGTACTATACTAAGTGTAACCTGAAATTTTAAATTGCTCCTGTGTGCAAACTGTTTAACCTGGGAGTCCCAACCTTTGGCTACAAAGTGGGTTTAGTGTAGGGTGAACCTACACTATATATATGTATAATTTTACTATATTACCAGGCCTGTCATTGAACTTGCAATCAAGCTGTATCAGACTCCTTCATTGCCAGGATTAATGGCATGCACCACAACACATTGCTTAACTTTCTCCAATTATTAATTCTTTTTACAAGTCTGTTGTTCATGAACAAGGAACTTAGAGCTCTGCCCAGTGCCTGGTGTATTCTCAAAATTTTTAACTGAGTTGAATGGCCATAAATGACTATCAAAGATTATTTTATCCAAAGCATATCAATGATACAATGCAGGTGCTCTGGTTTGGATAAATATCCTGTAATGGTCCATGTATTAAATGCTTGGTCCTCAAGGTGTTGTATTTAGTGAAAGCTTTACAAGGTAAGCTTGTAATAGTGGGAATTGTTTATTTCATTGTACAATATGTACTTGAAATGAATTTTTGACACCTGGAGCTTATTTTACTTTTCTGTTGCCATGTGCTCCTGCCATAATGTGCTTGTACACCTCAAGCATAAAGCTGTAATACTAATCACTTATCAACAAGAATCTCCAGAACTTTAATTCAAAATAAGATTTTTCTGTTTGTTAGATAGTTATCACAGGTACTTTTCATCGTTGTTAAAAAAAAAAAAATCCTAAATGACAAATTTGGTTAGCCTGAGGGGCCAAAGTCAGAGCACATATCTTATGTGTCTTTGCAACTCATTTATCATAAGATGTTTATGTAAAGCAGTGGTTTTTGGTTTTGCAACACATGATAATTTATTTTCAAAATTTTTTTTAATATTTATTTTTTAGTTTTAGGTGAACACAATACCTTTATTTTACATTTATATGGTGCTGAGGAATGAACACAGTGCCTCGTGTATGCTAGGGAAGCATGTTACCACTGAGCCACAACCCCAGCTATTTTCAAATCTTTAAAAAAACATTGATGCCTGGGTTTCTTTCCAGGGATATAGATTTCATCATTTTAATGCAATTTTAAATTTGGAAATTGAAGAGCCCTTCAGGTGACTGTCCATTTTAGCCAAAACTTGGAACTATTGGTTCACAGGTGAAAATGCATTAACTCTGTGTGGTTTCTGTTTGTGCTATGTGGATCTGTCCACTTCAGCCTTTCTGTTGGGAGTTTATGGAAAACAGATTTGCCATGTTGAGAAGAAAATAAAAGGATTATTTTCTTATTTACTCAGGTGTTTAGACAAACTGCTGGTGGAGAAAATGTCTTCTCATTATACCTATCTTATTCTCATTTCATATTAAGAAACTGTTTCATAAAAAGGTCTAAGTTTAGTCTAGATTAAAAATCATAAGTAGACTACAAATACCAAAAATAAATTAATGAATAAATGAAAGAATATGCAGGTATACTGTGTGTTATGCATATTTTTACTATTACACCATGATGAGAAATGTTTTTAAAAAATAATTTAGCCTTCATTTTTTAAATATGCCCTAAGTCTATTTACTCATAACTCTCTATTTAAACAAACAAGCAATAAAACAAAACAAAAACAAAAACAAAACACTTGAGTGTTTTCTTAAAAATATTTTAATAGTAAAAAGTAGTGAAGGGATATATAGCTAAAAAGAATTATGTTTCTTTTGCAGAGATGTCATTCTTCAGTTTCTTAAATTCCTAGAAAAATTGCATGATTGTTGTGGCCTACCAAATTTTTTGATAATTTGAGGCAGGCAATAGAGATTCTGAGTCTAAACCTGATTTGCCTCTGTGGTTTGGTAAAATTTTATGAATTGTAGTAGTCAGACAAATGTCATCTGAAAGAAAAAAAAAGGTATAAATTGTAAAATTATTTTTAATCATCTATCTATCTATCTATCTATCTTTTTATTTATTTATTTTTTTGTATCCAGGCCATTGGCAATGTTCTTTTATAGCTGTTCTTAATGACAGGCAGAATGTGTTTGCCATGACATAAATAAAAGTGGTTTATATACTACAGCCAGTAGAATATAGTTATTATGAAAATGTATGGGTATTATGCCTTGGCCTGAAATGTCTTGAATCCTTTCTGTTTTTGTCTTTGTACACCCCACCATATCAAGGTGAAGAAGCTCATATTAGGCTTTTGAAGGATAAGAGATC